ACCACTTTGCTATATTTCCAGTGAATGATTCATTCTTAATGGTATCTCCCTAAAAATTTCTATTTAAATGGGATTAAATTTACTGTACATTAATACATACTGTGGTGCAAGAAGACACTGATGTTCAACTGATATTGTTACCAAGTAATTGAAAATTATATTGAAGAGTAAGATTGACTTCAGTGAGTTTTGACTAAATAGCTACCTTCGTTGTTTGATCTAGGCTATTAATTTTTAAATGGTTCTTGTCATTGAAAACCTAAGTTAATGTATAAATTATTATAATTTAACAGTTAAATCTCTTAGAGTTAAGAATAACATGAAAACTAATTTTTTTATTTGACAGGTTGAAAATTCATTTAAACTGGAATAGTACATGACTATAAATAAATATTTGTATATGTAGAACTAAAATAATATAAATGTGGTTGCTGCCTTTGGCTATAAAAAGGTTTTGAATGAAAAACAAAGGCCAAGTAGAGCATTTGTTGCAATATATATTGGCTCAGGAAAATAATTTAAATGAGAGAATGAGGAAAGATCCAGCTGAGGTCCATAACATGCAAGCCATGCAACTTAACCCCTGTGTATTTCTTCAGCTCCTGAATTTGCATTCTTTATGAGTAGAGAGGATTTAACTTCAGAAAAAGCTTAAAGCTCTGTAAAAAGTGTTCAACTACCAATCAGTTCCAGGTTCAACACCTACACAGTGTGGAAGCAGATTTGATGTTGGTCACTTCCAATTTTTTTAAAAAAGATCAAAAATCAGAAATTAATGTCAAATCTTCTGATATTTAAAAGCTAACTGAAATGCCACATATAAAAATAATTAAGTCAGAACCTTATCTCACACCTCAAATCAAATTGGATTAAATACCCTGATACCAGACCTCAATCCAGAAATTATATCAGGGAAGTTATTGGCAGAACCCTGTATTAAATATAGTAGCATTTTCAATGACCCAATGCTATTTGTCAAGCAAAACAAGGCAAAATAAATAAATGGAACTACATAAAATGAAGAATTTCTGTATCTCAAAAAGAAATTAGAATATAAAGACACCAGACTTGGAGAAAATATTTGCTCACCATACATATAGCAGAGAGTTAACATCCAAGATACATAAAGAACTTGTAGAACTTACTAATGAATAACAAATAAATCTATCAGACATGGGGAGGAGGAATGAACAGACATGACCTTAAAGATGATATGCAGACGGCCAATAGATACACGGAAGAATTCTCTACAACTGTGACAAATTACCTCACACCAGTGAGACTGGAACATATAAAAAAGAATAAAAAAATCAGTGATGGCATAGATATAAAACTGAAAAACTAACACACACTCATGATTGGTGGGAATATTAACTGGTTCAACTTCTTTAGAAAACAATATCAACACTTTTTGGAAAAAAAAAAGACAACTCAGACTTGAAATTTCAGATGATCCAGTAAACTGATTTCTTGGCATTTACCCTACCCCAAGGATCCAAAAGCACTATTTCAAAAAGATATTTCTGAGCATATGTTGTTGCAGCACTATTCACAATATACAAGATCTGGGAACAACACAAGTGTCCAAGAACAGAGCGCAGGATAAAGAAACTGGTCTGTATACACAATGGAAGGGTATTTAACTATAAGAAAAGATGAATTCATGCATCTTGCTACTATGTGTATGCAACTAGACCGTACAATGCTGCGTAAAGTCAGTCAGAAGGATAGGACAGTCAGAATGATATCTTTCAATAAGTGGGATATAAAGAAACATAGTGAGGGAACAACAACTGCCCAAAGCAAACAGAACTGGAGAGTAGGTCTCCAGAACGGAGCTTACCAACTAGAATAATATTAGTAAAAGTGATATTGTAATTTAGGTATGAAGATTTATAAATTGTACCAGACTTAAAATTTGAATACAAAGAGAAATCATAAATTTATTTTATAGCTCATCTCCTATTACTGAGTTGCCAATCCTCAAATTTCCCAGACTCAAAGTCTAAAGATCTTCTAATTTTTCTCAAACATTAATTTCAATAGATTGAAATCTTGAAAGAAACAGCATACATTCAAATTCTCTACATTTCCTCTCATAGTCTAATTCACTGACTCCTGTCTAATATATCAAAACTGCTCATTAAAGTTATTCATGACCTCCTGATACATCCCTAAATACTTTCATATCTTTAAATATTCCCAAATTAAAATATCACTTGTTTCCACTATATTTATTCAGATTCATATCATTTATGCATTCTTGTCCTCTTTCCTTTATGGCTTTTTTGATCTTTATCCATTTTTTATATAGGATATGCCCTTGTATAACCATCTTTTGTTGCTTCTACTGTTCTGTATTCTCTCCTCAAGCAATGTCATTCATTCTCATGACTTTAACCCCTACTTCTATGATGAAAAAGCCCAAATATCTAGGCTATACTTCTTTCTAGGACTCTAATTTGTATATGTATCTTCAACATGCTCAATCTAAATGTCTTAGAGATCCTGCAAACATTTCCAATGTCCTTTTCTAAGTATTCTCTTCTTCTGGATTCTTTTTTTTTAAATAATTGTTTGCATCACCAATTACCAAAACAAACCATGAGTCACTTATGGCATTAACTTTAATTTATTTCTAACATTATATTAAAGCTTATTGTTATTTTTAAACTCTGTTCCTTTATCTCCAACCTCATTTCTTTTTCAACTCTAGGAACTCATCACTCTTTAGATCATTCATTTTTCCATTTTCTTCTATCCACACTATCATCCATCTACCCAATCCACCTATCTATTAATTCATCTACTCACTTACATATTTATTAAGTGTCTACAAGGAGCCCAGATTGCCATAATGACTTATGGATACAAAATAAGACCAAAGAAGACAAACCTTATGCTATCATCAAGCCTATTCTCTCATGACAACTGCAGAGGCTTTCTAATTTGCTTTGCAAGTCTCCAGTATCCTTCCCACCCATACTCCCATGTTATGTCTTAAAATGCAAATGAGACCATGTCACCCCTAATGCTGCAAGTCCTTCAATAGCTCCTATTACAATGAAATAAAAGTCCAGACTCTTCAACAAGAAATATAAGGTGTACTAGAAAGTTGAGTTTACCTCTCCAGTCTTACCATTTCCCTAACATTCTGGTCTTTTTTCAACAATACGGGATTACTGGATTTAAAAAAAATCATGTTTCAAGCATCCACTTTAATGTTTCTTTGTCTTACGAACACTCTCTCCATTGAAACTGGTTAACTGTTCCTTCACTGCCTACCTCTGTCATCCTCTTCTTCATAGATCTTCTCTATTTAGCCCCTCTTGTGCCACATGGTTCCCTGTGGTTTCCCATCTCACGGCATGTGTCACATATAAAATACATATGTTGACATATTTTTGATGTTGTCTCACATCCATTACTCTACTTATACCTTGACCAACCTCATTGTTATTGAAATATTCTCCTCGTCTCCACTTTCTTCTCATTCTAACCCATTTCAAATATCTCTACCAGATTAATCTTACTAAAGCACAGGACTATGTATTTCTCTCTAAGTAAAATGCTGTCATAGCTTTCTTTTCTCTACTACCAGTGGTTCCCAAAGAGTGAACCATGCACCAATTGTGAAATAATTTCAGATAATACATGGGAGTGGCAGTAAATAACTAAACCACAAAACATAAATGTCTTTTATCAGTTTTTTTTATTCTAGCTATACCCAGAAGAACTATTAAAAGTGTACAAACGTTTGATAAACTTTTGTGAAAGTGGGGTTTGGGTCACACCTGGTGGAGCTCAGGGTTTACTTCTTATATCTGACTCTGAGCTTAGGGATCACTCCTGGCAGTGCTCAGGGGACTATATGTAGCCCCAAGAACCTAACTAAGATCCATCATGTGAAAGGCAAATGCCTTAATCTCCGTATTGATATACCTCTCTGGTCCCTGATAAATGTTTTTTAACAAAAAGACTCAGGACAAAGTCATAAAAAAGAAATAATAATTAGTCAAACTTTACAGTACATTTATTTTTATAAATACATTTTCTTTTTTGAAAGTTATATGGTTTTTTTTCCTGGTGGGGAGGACACACCTGGCAGTGCTCTGGGCTTACTCCTAATTCTGTAATCAGGTATCACTTCTGGCAAGCTTAGGAGACCATATGGGATGCTAGGGATCAAAGTTGGGTCAACTGCGTTCAAGGCAAGTGCCCAACCTGCTGTACTCTTTACTCTGGTCCCCATGGTTTATCATTTTTTTTAAAAAAATATATTTTGTTTAAAATCCATGTTTTGTTTTAAAATCAATTTCAGCAAAATGTAAATAATAAGTTTATTTAAGGAAGGATTAAGCATGTGTTATCAGTTATAGCACACAAATGCAGAAAAGTCATGAAAATAGTCTGGAAATAACTAATCGGAGAAAAAACAAGTGAGTTGTCTCAGGGTCATCCCTCTTGCTTATAGTCTAATGTTTATCCAATACATATAGGTAAAAGCCCTCCCAATCTATTTAAATACATTGTAATACAGGATAAATATTTTCTTAATAATGTGTCTTAAATTAGGCAACAGTGATTAATGATTCTTTTTGATCTATGTATTTTCCACTTCCTAGCTTCCCTGTTTGCACTCACACTGTTATTTATGCTTGGGATGTTTGCTTACCAGTTCTACCTGTTGGAACCTTTCAAAGTTCATGTAAGTGAACTTTGCTATCATAAACCCTTTCTTCATCATACAGTCAGATGGATTTCATTTCTACTCACAGTACCAATAGCACCTTCTCTCTTTCCTGAACTTCCTATTCTAGTTTCAGTGATTCTCTAGATGTTCAAATCTTCTCACACTTAGCAGATTTGAAAGGAATGAGAACATATATTTTATTCACATTTTTTATAACCATGTTATTTGAAAAAAACTGACAGAGTACTCACTATTCATATTTGCTGAATTAAATTTAATATTTTAAGAACATTCATCTTACACTTACAATTTTGCGCTTGATCATGAAGAGTGGGATTTTTGCATGAAGAGGAGTTGAGGACAGTTCCTTATGGACCGTTGATAAATACAATCTTCTTTTGATATTCCCTAAATCAGTAATTCTGGAAAAAAATAAAGAAGATTCCCATCAATAACTAGCTATTCTTTGTATAATCAAAATGATACATTTTATCATATAGACTTTCCACGAGGGAGATCAAACACAGAAATTAAGAACTGCCTTTTCCTTTTAAGAAATAATAAAATTTCTTCCTTTCTTGAAAGTGTTCAAAAGTCAGAATGTATAAATTCACTTAATATGTTAATTTATTTCAGTACTTTATACTAGATTTCCACTCTCTAGGCTATGAAGAAATTCAATTTGTACGAACTGAGAAACTGATCACCTTTAATAACCATGCTTGTTCCAGCCTCTTAAGCTTGTGTTATCTTGGGACATACTGTCACCTACTAAATAGGAAAACATTATGGGATTCTTTCTCTAAAAATGCATCTGTCATTTTATATAGGCTCTTAGTCTGCTTAGAGACAGATATGAAACATTGACTGTCAGTTTCACTTCCTAAGCACGTAGCTTCAAACCAGAATTATAAAACACAAGTTTACTGCTCACTCTTCAGGTCAACCTGCAATGATACCAAGGACACTAAATTTGAACATCTTTAATAGATTTAGACCACATCCACGCTAAAAAGATTAGGATTGTTTCAAGTTGATAGAGGCTTATTTTTATGTTTTACTTCCTTAAGGTCTCTGAGATAGCACAGCAGGCTTAAAAATTTCATGCATGTTCTAGTTTGCTATATTGGAAAATATATGCTTTCATAAAGATAGTCTTTTTTCTTGGAGCATAGCAATTTCCCCCCATTTTAATTAACGTTGTCTCCTAGCTGTACTTATTAATGGACAACTGTCTACAAATAGCAATCCCTAAGGAGATACTAACTCATCAAAAAACTGGTACTGATATTTAAGGTGTTATTAACTTTCAAATCAATAGACTTTTCTACAGCTCTTCCCTCACCTCCTTTTCTAATCCTCTATTTTCCTCCTCTAAAATATTCTACCAGAAAAACTACAGTTGAGCAGCATTAAGAATAATACATACCAGATCGCATGTCATTCTCTCCCGGAAGGGAGCACAACATGACGCTCACAGTAACCATGCTGCTAGACCCCGCACCAGGCTGTTTCACTTGGGGTGCCTCGGAGGGTGGCGGGTGAGACTCCTCCCCGCCCCAAGGGATCCAGCCCCGGCAGCTGAAAACCTCCAGAACTCAATGGCCGCCCTGCTCACAGCCGCTCTCCACATGCTTGGGCCAAACCTTACTCTAAAGTGAACGTTTTCTTGGACCGCATGGCCTCAAATGCTATACTTCATAGGACACATCCTACCCATATTCCAAGAGTACCCTACGACTTCTGATGGGATTCAAAGTATGAGGCAACCAACCTTAAAGCGAAATATTATATCATTTCAATTCTGCTTTGGGGCAGTGATTGGGGCACGGGATGATAACACCTGAAATCTGGTGGTGGGAAGGTGTATGGTGGTAGGATTGGTGTTTGAATATTAAATGTAATCAAATGCTGTGAACTACTTTATAAAATTTTTAAAAAATTTAAAAAAGAACAATACATATAGTAAAAATCAGGTGAGACTTCAGAATATGCCTCAGACATAGATATTCTACTTTATGTACATTAAACAATATTATAAATTCATTTAAAAGCATTAAGTCTGTCAACTCATAATCAGGGTTTTTAAAATGCAAAGCTATTAACAATACTCTAACTTTGCACTTAAATGTATAAAAACATCGTATAATATTTGCTCTAAGGCAGTATTTTTTTTTTCTAAGGCAGTATTTTTAAAGTGAGATGATCCCATGTGGAGGGGTGGTACACATCATCCACTGAGGTGCACAAGAAAAATACTAGAAATTTCATCTCATCCTTTAAAAATGCCATTTTTGTTTATGTATATTAAATGGCAGTATAGCAACATATTTATACATATTTGAAACAAATGTATCTATGTGGTTGATGGTCTCTAATATTTTGCCCAAATGTGCTTGTAAGAAATTGTCATAAGAGAACCTATGAGGTGACTTCTATAAAAAGTTCTGGTTAGGGAACAGAAGGAAAGATTACTGGTCCTCCACCTCCACAGCCACGGCCGTGTTAACACACCCACTGGCTCTGCTCTATAAACTCACAAGTCAAGCAGCAAAAACTGAGGGACGCGCCAGTCACTGCAGGTGAAAACTCTGGGTTCCCTCAGAAAGCAGGAGAGCGGAGTATCTGCTTTGCCAAAACCCTAGCAGCCACACCTACACCCCACACCTGCACCCTACAGCTGCAGCCACAGCAAGGGCTCAGCTCCACTAGTTCATGAATATTCTCTGCAGAGACACCAAACTGTGACTAATTTCAGGTACCCTGGTGCTCAGGCTGAGAATGGTGGGGTCTCCCCAAAGAGGAGGAGAGCAGTCTTCCCCCACCACCCATATTTTTGGAAACCCTGGCAGTCATGCCCACCTCCCATAGCCACTGCGATGTCAAGTCATTGGCCCAGACTATAGATCTGCAAATCTCCACACTGCATAGCTGCATACGTGGCCGCACAACATCTTTTAATTCCTCAATACTGAAATTCCAGTAGGAGCACATCTAATTAGATGGTGAAAGTAACAGAAACCAATTATACTCAAGAAACAAAAACAGAACACAGATGGCTCAACTAGGAACAACAGTAAATTCTTGGGCAAGAACTTTGTAATGAGATATAGAAATTTTCACATTAAAGTTGATTTTTTATACTTATCAAGTTTAATATTGGAGCTTTTTTAAAATCTAATTTTAACTCTAGAACTGCACCAACAATTGTAGCTTTGTTTATCTTAAAATGCCAAACACAGTGACAAGTCTCACAATGGAGACATTACTGGGCCCGTTCAAGTAAATTGATGAACAACGGGAAGACAGTGCTACAGACAGTGCTAATGACAGTGAACAATTTCACATAGTTACTGGTATACCTTGTGAGTGTCTGTTAAGAATTTTGTTCAGATATATAGAGTTGTTTCTTTATTATGAGTCCTTTATATATTATATATATATTTTGAATATATATCTTATATATAGACTCTCTCTCTCTCCCTCCCTCTCTCTCTCTCTCTCTCTCTCTCTATATATATATATATATATATATATATATATATATATTTCGGAGAGCCCAGCAAGCTACTGAGAGTATCCGCCCACATGGGCAGAGCCTGGCAAGCTCCCTGTGGCGTATTTGATATGCCAAAAACAGTAACTATAACAAGTCTCATTCCCCTGACCCTGAAAGACCCTCCAATCCTTGGGAAAGACGATAAGGAGAGGCTGCTAAAACCTCAGGGCTGGGATGAAAAGAGACATTACTGGAGTCCACTCGAGTAAATTGATGAATAACGGGATGACAGTGATACAGTGATATCTTATATCTATGATATATACAGATCATGAAAATGATTGTGAATACTGCCTTAATAGTGCTTTTTTGAGGTAAATGATTTTATTTGGAAGTTTTGAAGGAAAGGAGGGAGAGAAAGTGGGAGAGAAAGTGGAGAGTATCGCGCTCAAGGGAGAACCTGAACTTCTCCAAGGCTGGAGGGAACCCCTACACATATCCCAGCATTAGACATGAAAGCATGAAAGTACACATCTCAAGAGGGGACATGTGTGCTTGGCCACTTGGGCACAAGCAGCACATGGGCTCGGGCAGCATACGTGCCTGCCTTAATAGTGCTTTTATCTGTTTATTTCTGAATAATTTCCATCTTAATGTATCAAGAATAGTATTACAGGATAGTACTATAGAAGGCTCCTAGATTCTTTAATTAGATTAATTTGTTAATGATGGGCTGGAGCGATAGCACAGCAGTAGGGCTTTTGCCTTGTGCACAGCCAGCCCGGCCAAGCCAGGCTCAATTCCTCCGCCCCTCTCGGAGAGCCTGGCAAGCTACCGAGAGTATCTTGCCTGCACAGCAAAGCCTGGCAAGCTACCCGTGACATATTCAATATTCCAAACACAGTAACAACAAGTCTCAAAATGGAGACGTTACTGGGCCTGCTCGAGCAAATCGATGAACAACGGGAGGACAGTGTTTGTTTTTTGTTTTGTTAATGATGCCTTTTCATCAGTAGTTTCTGGTTTCATGAATTTCTGTTTGTCATTAATAGCAGTGCTTACTGTCTCCAAAAAAAATCCCCCTATATAGTGCAAATATACAAAAATTGTTTCCTTTTTTAATATCTTGATAATTTAATTTTTCACATTTGTTCTATAATCCATCCCCAATTTATTTATTTATTTTTTGCTTTTTAGGTCATACCTGGCAATGCTCAGGGATTACTCCTGGTTTATGCACTCAGGAACTACTCCTGGCCGTGCTCAGGGGACCGTATGGGATGCTGGGGATCGAACTCGGGTCAGGCTGTGTGCAAGGCAAATGCCCTACCCGCTGTGCTATCACTCCAGCCCCTCCCCAACTTATTTTTATTCTGTAAATTAGTAGGTATGTTTTACTCATCCAGTTATCGATACATCACTCACTAGACACTTCCCTTACTGAAATGCCTTGATGCTTTGTCAAAAGTCTATACATATACGTATAGACCTATTTTAGAATTTTCTATTGGTACAGCTGTTTCCTTTCTCTGTTTATTCATTCTTACACCAATGTCACAATGCCTTCATTATAGTAAAGTTGTGGCAACAGAGTGAAGAAACACTAAACTGGTTTTGTTCAAGGTCTGCATGGCCTTGCTTTTCCATATAGATTTTAGCATCCACTCATAATTTCTATAAATTATAGAAATTTATAGAAATTGGCAGCTCCGGCCGAGACTCACGCGCACGACTGAAGACCCACAGAACAAGATAAGCGGAACTCTCTGAGACCTTGGACTCCAGGCTCGGCAGACCCAGGGATGGAGCTTCTCTGCTTGCTCCCACCAACCACAGGTGACAAAGGGATTCTAATCAGGAGCCCCACCCTACCCTGCCCTGTCTGCTTCCATCAACCACCCAGGGATCGAATTGCGCACAGGA